TTAGGTTTACTATTTAACCTGGCTAGTTAATAACCTTGCTCACATCAATCCAAATAATTAATTTTTTTTTTAATCCTATTTAAATTAAGTTTACTTTTCATTATCTTAATTAAATTATAATAAAATATTTTTATATAATTAGATTTTTCTAATTCTATTTAAATTTAATTTAATTTTTTTTTAATTTTATTTAAATTTGGTTTATTTTTCACTATTTTAAAAGAAGATATAAATAGATAAATATTTTGAGATATGGTTAAATCTAATTAAAAAATTTACACTTATATACACGTATCAAAATCTAATCAAACGACATGACACATGTTAATTACAAAACTTTATATAATAAGATATAATATATAATAATTTTGATTTTTATAGTTAATTTGTCCAAAAACAAATTGGATTTGGACCAAAAACAAATAAAAATATAATCATGTGTTTACTGAACAAGTAATTTAATTATTGAGTTTAACACCGATAACAACAAATATTGAATTCGGGTCGGTGGAATTTTGTCAATATATTACACGAAAAATTCTCTTGATTGCTTTTGTTTATTCCCTTTATTTCCCACAATCCCTAAACAAAGGTCGATCTCCGGTCTGTGAATCCCTTACGATGTTACCTACTGAAGGATGTTCTTCTGTGAAACATGATTGGCCTAAAGCTTCTAATACAGTTGTGCCTAGTACGTTTAAGAAACCTCTCGGTGGTGCGAAAAGGATGGGAAAAACTGGTCGTCTTGGTGCACGGAAGCTTACTACTAAGGTAAAGTCTCGGGCTGTTTCTTGGTGCATTAACGATTTTGTTCTCTTCTTGTTCAGATTAATAAAATATTTAATTTGATTTTTGTCTCTTTGTGCAGACAATGGAAAATCTCTATGACCAGGAACCGGAAGAAGTTGCACCGGTTATTCCTGCTGTTTCTTCAACTAATAACGGCCGAACCAAATCACCAGCTGGTTTGTTTAAGTACAATGACGACTTGCAGCCAAGTACTTGCTCCATGTCAAAGCATCCATCACGCTTCTCTCTAGAAGGCATATTGAACACGGCCATGAAATCACGCGGTGGTACGCTAGAGTTTCGCTCCCATGTTACTCCACCAGAGGATCGAGCACTCGTCACTGTAGATCCCTTATTGGACTGGGTCAGGAAATCACGCGGTCGTGCCAGTGGTACACTAGGGTTTCGCTCCCATGTTACTCCACCAGAGGATCGAGCACTCGTCACTGTAGATCCCTTATTGGACTGGGTCAGGAAATCACGCGGTCGTGCCAGTGGTACACTGTTTCGCTCCCATGTTACTCCACCAGAGCATCCAGCACTCGTCACTGTAGATCCCTTATTGGACTGGGTCAGGAAATCACGCGGTCGTGCCAGTGGTACACTAGGGTTTTGCAGCCATGTTACTCCACCAGAGCATCCAGCACTTGCCACTGTAGAACGCATACTGGAAAACTGACGACTTACAGTCAACTTCTAGGTCTGGTTCGATGGAAACCTCTTGTGTATAAAGAATTAGACTTTATTCTATTTCATGATACATACAGTACATTACACTTTCACTTCTAAAACTTGTGTGTAAAGATAGTTAGGAATTCCCAACCTGAGTCAATTTCATTTTGGCCTTAGCCATCCTCGCTTCACCATAACACCCTGACATCCGTAAACCCGACAAAACCGCTCTTCTAGCTGATGTCGGAATCTTAATTCCTTTATTGTAACACGACAAGAGCAGCTTCGAAGCACAAACAAACCTCATGTCTTTACATAGATTATGCACAACAGAAGTGTAAGTATACTCATCTTTCACTTCCATCGACTCAAACAATCTCATCGCTCGGTCTACATGACCCGCTTTACACAATCCATCAACCAAACAGTTACACGTCACAAGATTCAATCCCATTCCCATCTCTCCCATACTTACAAAATGCCTCTCAGCTCTTCTCGTTTGTCCCGTTCTTAACAAACCGTTAACTATAATCGTGTGCGTATACTCATCCGCTTTCATTCCTTTCCGCTCTATCTCTCCTAACAAATCATCAACCGCATCCAAATTCCCGTCTTTAAAATACAGATTCAACAATGTATTGTACGAAACAATGTCATGTCTCCTACCTTTCCTAACCAACTCTTGCATATACTCGTAAGCCTCTTTCGTTCTCCCTGTTTTAATCAAAGCGCTAATAACCGCGAAATACGCGTACCCGTCATAAGTATACCCTTCTCTTTTCATCTCTAAAAACAATTGTAACCCTCTTCGAATCCTCCTGGTCTTGAAATATAGCTTTAGTATCGTAGTGTACGTAACTGCATTCGGAGTATAACCCGATTTCTTAAGCTCCATTAGCATCCATTTAGCAGTACCAACTCTCCTGGACTTACAAAGCCCGTTAATGAGAATGTTATAAGTCATGAGCTCTGGTTTAAACTTACTCTGCATCTCTTTAAATAGCTCAAGAGCATTGTCTATATAACCACACTTGCAAAGAGCATCAAGGAGAACATTGTAAGTATCAGGACCGGGACTTAAACCAGCAAGCTCAAGATCCTTGTAAAGAACACGAAACGCTTCTTCTTGTTTACCTAGCTTGAAGTAACAACACATTAAAGTATTATAACTCCATAAATCAGGATATATACCCCATTCAAGCATTTCGTCGAACAGGTAGAGGACACGATCTAACATCAATCTTCTAGCTGCTCCGGCGATTAAAGAGTTGTATGTAGCGATGTCTGGTCTGATTCCGGCGTCTCGCATACGACGAGTAACGTCGTAAGCTTCTTCGATTCCGACAAAACGACAGTAACCACTTATTAGTGTGTTGTAAGTGATGACATCTGGAGAAACACCTAATCTGATTCCGTCAATGATTAATGATTCAGCTTTCTCCAATTTCCGAAATTTGCAGAGAGAATCAACGCAAATGTTCAATAATCTCGTAGATAATCCGGTGAAATTCACCAACCCACGAACCATTCTCTATGATTAATCCGAATAAACATAGAAGAATGGTAAAAGAAGCAAGATTTGTAGCTGAATTTGTGACATTGAATGTGAAAAAAAAAAAAGAAATAGGATTAGTGAAATTCAGATGCAGATCTCAACGATGAAGATGATGGGTATTAGCGAAAGATGTGAAATTTCAAAAATTTATATGCTAAAAAAACGAAATTTATCTGAGAGAGATTTGCCTGAACAGTCTTCAACTTCAAGGTATTGCAATAACCCTTAATTTT